CGAGAGCCATATCCACCACTCTTTTTCCTATCCGTCCTCTTGGATTTATGTATAATTTTTTTTAATTGGCCCTTTATAACAAGTTCGACGCAGTGTTTTAACAGCGGCGGCAGCCTCGTCGTGGTGCCGCTCGTAATAATTACAAGTCCGCCGGACCACGCGGTGTGGTTTTATCCAAAGGTTACTGCGGGCGTCTCCGCGCGCCGAAGGAAACGCAAATAATATTATATCGAGAGGTTTCCGCGAAAAGAGATTTTATAATTGCACAACATAAATATTGTTGTCTTAATAACGTGCTCGCGCCGAAGTCTCCGCGTGCATCGCAAACGAGATGTGCCCCCAGGAATTAACAGAGTACGAATATCGCAAAACCCGCGGAGATTGTCTGCAGCGAATTTTCCGAGGTGCGCCAGAGCGAGAGGGGGTGAGAGATATATAGATAGAAAGAGAGCATTTTGTATTCTCGTTAGCGCGGCCCAATTAGCGGCACAACCCCACGTCAGACCATAAGGCGCCGTTTGCTCGTCGCCGCTATACCACCACCGCTGCCACCACAACCGTGCCCTTAACGAGCTCCGCACCCTCCTGCCATCCCCGAAAACCCTCCTGCCCCTCCCCACGTTACCGACCCTGGTCGACCGACGTCGGCGTTTGTGGTTTTTTCACCGGTTTTTTATTTTTTTTTCATCTTTTTTTTTGATGATGTATGGCCGCGTCGGGCTCCTCATCGGCATCGAGGAATAATTTTGTTGTTGTTGTTGTATATTAATACAAGTTACAACGTATGTATGCATGTACGCGTATTATTATAATGCGTTTGGTGTTCTCGAGAATTTTCTTAAATACTTGGTAGGTAGGTACTCTGCTATTATTATTATTATTATAACTATTTTATAAGTACATGTATACTATTCTGTACTATAAGCTGTTACCATTTATGCTCTTAAAAAAAATTTTTTTTTTTTTTCTAATTTGTTTTTTCCGTATAATATAGACACTATACCATACTACAATAGTTTTTATCTTCGTGATTACGCATATGCATATCATCATATACATTTGAACTGCCAACAATTATACCATCCTTATGATATAAAATAATAATAATACGCATCATAACAACGAGATCTTTGCGATAATGCGATGTCTTATACTCTACATAATGTACATCGTACATATCTATATTATTTTATGTACAATGGCGTACGTCTTCTATTTATAGTGTATGACGATGAGAGTTACATTAATGGTTTTGCCATTACTGGTGTCCGGGGTCTCTCTATCTGCCCAACGTGTATTTTTTTTTCTTCCAGAGACTCTGCGTCAGCTCTTGTATATGTATATAATAAAATATTTGTATACCTATGGGAGCTGACCAACGGAGTCTATCGCGCCGTCCATTAACACTCAACACAAACACGCGGTGTCAAATATTTGCTCTAAAGATGCTCGTCTGTCTAGATAATTTACGTGCGTCCCTTTCTGAAGTATTTATTTTTCACCCTCATCCCCACACGCGTCATCGAAACGCTTCATCGGGTTCGTCTTGTGTATGTTGTGCCTATAATATATAGATACGATACATGATAATATAATACGAAATAAATCACTATTAGTTTATATACGATCAGTGAGTATTGTGTTACTTCAATGTTTTTTCCCGGCCATTTCGGAAGATTTGGACTGGTTTTTTCAAACGTTAAGTATACAAATAAGAAAAAAATAAAAATATTTCGTTGAGAACTCTAAACTATATTTTTTTAAATTCGGTGCTCGGGTGTCATTCTCTGATGCCCCCTATATAGTTACGCCACATTATAATATAATAATACGGAAATACACTCGTCGGAACGCGAACCAAAATGTCCCCGCGCCACAACAATAATAAGGGAGGATATTTAACCCGATACAACAATATAATAGAACCAGAATGAAAAAAAACCAGTCGTATCGCGGTGTGTGAAGGTGTTGGACTTTGTATAAATAATATATGCAGAGCGACGTTATTGTGAGATCGTCGTAGATAATATTATTATTCGTTTTGCGAGTGCCGAAAATAACGTTAAACACAAACCATCATGTCCACGCCCACTCGTACATTACAGCAGTTTAGCGATCACCACTGGCGCGAATACAAATTTCGGCGCCTTTTGTTCGTAGTTGAGTTTAAAATCGCACAGCACTTCATAATTATTAATAACTGATAGTAGCGATTTTGCGGTACTGCAATAATACACTCGTCGGTCTATTGTTTATCGACTTCAATGTTTTAAACACGACGTTAATTTTAACGTAACGAGCAGACAACGACGCGAGGTATAGAAATAATTAAACATCCACTAGCACGCGCTAATTCGCCGGGGCGTGGTCGGACACAATATTATTTCCCGCAGTGCGTGTAATTAGTTCGGAAAATGACATCTGTGCGAACAAATTGAAGTGGCGGGCCTCGTCGAGATCGTCGTTTTTGTTTCTCTCGGGTGGTCCTTTATCCCCCTCCCCCCCCTCCCCTTCCCCGCGACAACAAGAACCACTCGCGCTCAATGGTAAAAACGATCGTTTAATGATATATCACATTTTGCTTTTACATTATACTTTTATAATATTCTGTACAACATGATGTATGCGAAAGATATAGTTACCTATATAGTCTATACTACGCAACTCTGCGCTGCGGCGACGATTAATAATTTATACATGGTAGACTATACAACGAGCTTCGCCGGCAAACTTGGAAAGTTAATGTTTTTCCTAAACTCACGGAGGTCCGGTTTTCGGCCAAAGTTTAAACACTCATTACACAGGTAAACATGTGATAACGCACTTATACGCAGCGATTCGCAGACGACTCTTTTCAACGGCACTCAACTGCAGCCACTCGACCGCAATTCACTCGGTCTATATAATAAATGTATAACATATCGGATTCAATTGCGCTCCGGCGGTCGTTCAATCCGAGATGGTTGTAAATTGAATGGTTATACACTCGCGTAATATGTACCTATAACATTATAATATCGCGTATAAGTACACGAAATACTATAACATATATATATTATATATAGCACATAATCGCGTAGATCTGCGTTCGAGTGCAAATCGGAATTATTATCATTCTCAATAATCAGCCACTTAAAAAACGATCGATAAAATTAATTTTTTTTTTTTTGAAACGTTTCCATTATTTTTTTCTTCTTCCGACAATCCGCCGCCTGCCATGCGTACATCTCACGACCGGCCTAGTACCAAACTAGAATTTGATCTCGGCTGGTGTACATTTTATATTGTGTGTACAACAATATTACCTCTGTGAACGCGTTTCCGTCGCGGTCGATGTCCGTGTGTATTCATCGTATGCGTAGACATCTCGTTTTAATGTATATTGGTACATAAATGGAAACAGCGTATTATATATTTACACGTAAATTGACAGTAAAATACGGACCAATAAACCAGAAGTGGATCTCTTTGGGTGCCTCGGGCTTTTCCGCAGTAAGCAACAAAATATGAAACTGGACAACTCGACGCGGCGACGGGTGTTGGGAGGGGAAAAAATCCCCGAGAGCATTCAAAAAAGCAGTTTAACACCGCGTCCTGTATCATAATACCGTATAATTAATACAATACAATATATAAACCTGTTCCACTAATCCGTCCCTTACTGTAAACGTCACATAACTGCCTCCGGATTACGTCCTCGTCCCCCGTCCGTGCCCTACTCGCGTAATCTCCTACACCTACAGCGATATATTATAATGTATGCTTATGTATAAATACCTCCTGGGCTATTATTACTATAACAATTATGCAAGGTAACTTAATTATATTTATATTACATTCCTCGTCCACGGCTTTAGACAAGAGGGAGGGGAGGAGGATGAGTTGCTCACTTGTTCGAGTTATTGGTAATCTTGTAATTCGTGACTACACAAACGGAGTTTAATAAATGCTATAAATATTTTGTGAATTTGTGTATCAACAAATATCAGTAATAATAACAACAATAAATAACTTTAAGGATTTTTTTTTTACCTTTTTCTTTCCTCAGATGCATTTTCTGGGAGTGTTTTGAGCAAACGCTCTGATTATGACATTGCTACTCTACTGTAAATACTTTGCAGCGATGTTCCCACGCGCCGTGGCTAATCAGCTATCAGTATTTTTTATTATACACATTCGATTCTACAATAATTATATGTTATAATTCGAGTAAAAGTTGAAAACATTCCTTGGAGTGGAGAAAAAACGTAAAATGATATACCTTATGATATAAGCAAAATAAAAAAAAAATGGTCATCAATACTATAATAGGTACCTACTGTTATGTATATAATGTACATGATATGCAGATATGCTTAAAATTTGTTGGCAAGCCCCAAATAAGATATCATGACGATTACGTGCCGCGGGCTGAAGCCTGCTGTTGACACGTGCTTTACCCCACCGGGTAGGTTTACTGATTTGACTGACTAAATTGTCTTGAGGCTGTCTGACACTGCCTGAGTCTGATTTATAGTAGTAATGATTGTACATCGCGAAATAAGTCACAACTACACACTTGCTGCTGTGGTATTATAATATAAGGGCTATGAAAGTACGACAAGTGTCAATATTTAAAGTAACATAAGATCGATGTCGAGCGTAACCAGATACACTGAGCCGGAAACACGTGATAACGCGAAAACTATACTGAAATTCACGAGATTATAACACAATCATTATCTGCTCCTCGTGTTATGGAAATCGCTTTTATAATATATTGTCTGTGGCCGATCTCTACTAACACAATATTAAACGTGAAAAATCTGCTGCAGGTTCGTTGGCATTAAAATTGTTACTGTATTTTTTCGAACTGGAATATACTATTATCTTATATGGCAATACCTATTTTTATAATTGAATTTTTTATTTTTAAGTGTATTTTTTGTTCATTAGAACGGGCTTAGACGTTTTACGAACAATTATTGTATAGATGTTTAATACAAACATTTTTTTTTCAGACATCCGCAGTACAAAAAAAAACTTGGAATATTCTCTGCCGTTGTAGGTGAGTAAATTATTTAACAATAGTAGTAATAGTAGTATAAAGAGCATCTCATATTATATTTGCTATCGTATTATTATTCCTACAATCCTAAGAATATTGAACTTAATGCGATTCACAGTGTAGGATTAATGCATGCCTATAATAAGAGATATTTGATCTGTTATACATGTTTTAAACGCTCGGAATAGCTGTATATAATATGCTAACTTATATCTATATGTCATAGTATTTTTTTTTACACTCAAAGTATAATATTAAATGTTTTCTGTTGTACGTTTAATGATACAATTATCTATTTTAAATATTTAAACAGCTAAAGTTATCAAATTATTTTATGATCCTAATACTCGTGAAAATGTATAAGATGAAACAATTTCATTACATTATGTACAAACGATAAGCAGCCCTTCTATACATTTACACATGAGAGATACGCGTGTATACACAATTGTCTCTTTTGTATCACATATTGTGTGGTATGTACAATAAACATATATTTATTTAAGACATTTCAAATTATAGGTACGCCATAAACGTATGATATTAGTGAACCGATTATTGTCAAAAACGAATTATATTGTCAATCTATATCTATGTAAGTGTCTAAATTTATCGTCTCTATTAAGTAGAACGATATCGATTCGTTGACTGCATTCAATTGAGATAAATTCGTACACTAAATTATACATTACACATATTATCATATTATAACATATCACGTATAAATAGAGAAATATCAAATATTTAAAGTATTAAGTTTTAATTATTTTTACCAAATATTATATGAGAATAATAATTGGATGTGGAAGAATATAACGGAATTACATCAAGCGTAAATCTTAAAAATTGACATTTAGTTTAGAAAAGAAACGTTCTCGAAACAACTCAAAGAAGTAATTAAGAAATTTATTAGAAAACTTATTATCTCGGTAACTGTACTTAATGAAATGAAAAATTACAACAAACAAACAAAACCAGGTCAATTAAAAATTAAAACATAAATTATTTACGATACTTTTATTAATTGGATTTTGTTTTCATTCGGAACAATATATTATGTCGATATTGATCATTATTTTGTTATTAACTCGGTGAGTGGATTCATTTTCTTTTTTTACTTCCAAGTTGTATTTTAATTGTTCCTTATATTTTAAGTTATTCAATAAACTAGTGCAAAGGGAAGGTAGTATAGGTACATCATATTATTATATATAACCGTGTATAGGTATGTATGGACTTTGCAGCAGTTTATTACTCTCGAATAAGAAATAATTACATATAGGTATAAAAACCGTGTACCTATACATAATATCATTGATTATAAATATTTATAATAAACGATTATATTATGCACTAATTAGTTATCATTATAAATTATTATTATTGAACAACGAAACGAATAATTTATCCGTGGAAATCATAGAGTTCCGGAGAAAGGGGAAATGGGACAATTCCGTGACAGATTTTCGCGGAGGTATGCAATCGATGGCGTTAGATCATATACCTGGATAAGTAGAAGGAATGCGCTCGTATTCCAAAAGCTGAGTTTACTGAAATTATTATTAAAAAATTTACAACATTTCCTTCGCCGTCACCCGGAAATCGAACGCACATTATTATTATTGCATTAGATTGTTTTATTCTTGGTGTATAATAGAATAATCTAATAAAGCCGCGCGCGTGTGTGTGTGTGTGTGTGTGTGTGTGTGTGTGTGTGTGCTTTTCGCCGCCGTGGTGACGTGGCGGTGGCGCACATGTGTAACGCCGCCACGTCCGCACGGAATTCCCGGATGTTGTTGTTCTCGTCGTCGTCGTCAAATGTAATTAGAGCAGCCACACATATTATTATTATTAAATAACGGGTGTGCGAAGCGGTGTGTGGGGAGGTAGAGGTTTTCTGAAAATACGGTTTACGCAATTATGCAACGTAGAAACCAATTTTGTGTTCGTCCCTCTTTAGCTCGTCGTGCCGTTCGCCCTCCGGTCGGTATGATATAATATGTAAGCAGAGTGTGTGTAGTGTGTGTGTGTGTGCCAAGTATATATTATCATATGTATATACGTGTCAGCCATGGGTGAGGGTGGAGAAGTTTCTGTCAAAGGGACGCTGCACGCACGCACTTGCTCGTGTAATAATGAAAATTAATACCTAATGGGATTAATTTAATATGTACACCGGTTGGCGCGAACAATGCGCCGTGCGAATACGCACCGTCAAACCGTCAAAACGTTCCGTTTCCGCTGCCGCCGCCTCGGCAGGGGATTTCTAAAAAGTTTCCTTGATTAATTAAAACGTCCCCGCACGACCACCCCCTCCACTCATCCCGTATATTTCGGCGTGGAGTCGATTACTTTTGACGTTAATTAAGTTTGATCTCTATAGGGCGGCCATAGGATCTCACCTAACAATATATGATTTACTAAATTATATACTTACATATCGACTATAATGAGAGGTCCTTTTCGGTCACCGACTTCCGGTCATCCAAAGATGACCTATATATTACGCACGAGCCATTATTGTTGTTTTAATAAGCTAAGAGTAAGTACCTACGCCTTGTCAATTTTTCTCGGTGAAAGGGCTCTGGTTCTAAGTCCTCTGGTATATGCTTTTTTGTTCTGCCCAGCCAACCCCACGCCACCGCTAATAATAAGTCCGAAACAAATGACACTCCTCTGCGTATAATATATACATAGGTAATAAAGCGAAGTATTTTAATGGTTATTATATACAAAATCAGCCCTGCTGTAACGCATTTGTAGTGTAATTATTATTTGTTATACTTGCTACAATTTACAATAAGAAAATAATAGTACCTTCATAATATATATTAAATACACATGACGAGTGGTATATGTCGCGTATAATATCATCATCACCGCCGCTTGCTGTTTTAATCGGAATTTCGTTTTAGTCTCGGTTAATTCGCCTCGTATCCGCCGCCGCCTGTGCTGACAATGATGACCACCCGACCCGACCCTTCAGCCGCCGTGTATATCACCACGGGCACGCGAAAGTCTAGCAATTAAAACAACGTCCATTTACCCGCTCGTTACCGAAACAACCGCAATTACGAGGAGCCAGGAAATTTTACGCCGGATCGTAAATCCGGATCTACTCGCCGCCGCCTGAGTGCCGTCGTAATTAGTTAGGTCTTGCAGCTCCGGACTACTAAAAATCTGGCCGTAGTAAAAGAGCTTTTGATATTGTTTTCGTTTAGTATCGCCTGCAAAACCGCCCCAGAGATAGCTGTAATCTTCAATTATAAAGAATGTATTTTATGTATTTTAAGAAAAAAAAAACCACCCGATAAAAATCCTTTCCTATTCGATTTCGGTTTCCCGCGTGAGAATCATGACACCGGTCCGTTTTAATGTGCCCATAAGTTTTTTACATTTCCCAACAACGGTGGCGCACAAACTTTTATTTCCTACTTTTCATCATCGGCAAAAGGAAATTCAGCTATACTGCGTTATGGGCTATATTGATCGATAAACACTGTACCCACTTTTAGACGACCGACGTGGATATTGCATTTCTTCAATATTTCTCGTCGAATATAATTTAATGTACCATATAATGTATTGTACTACGCTACAGCACCAGGTGGCTGAAATCTCACTCTTTTAAAAGTGAAACAAATGAAATTTATTCCGTAATTGACTTTAACGGATACCAGTTTATGATGTTGGACGTTTTTGATAACACGATTATAACTCGACCCAGTCGACCCTTCATATTTATGTGAAATAGCTAGGGATTATAAATAATCTTTTCAAATGAGGGTGAATATTATAAAATCTTCCACGATAATCGTAAAAATACGTTATTATATTTTATATATAAATTACATTTATTTTATATTTTTTAACTAGGTTTATGTACTGTTTTATTAAATTACGCTTTCGTTAAAAAGCTGTCGTTTCTCTATATTATAATGATTCGATTAATTTAATTTAATTTTTTTTTTTTAAAAGAAAACAATTGCATTTAATTATTTTTTACTAATTGTTGGCTAAATAATAACTCTTTTGCCAATATTATCCATTGCCAATACATAAATATGATGGCTTATAATTATATGTATATAGGCGATTAAAAAAATTCTTCGCATTTGTACTCTCGGTGAACTGCCGAAACCAGCTAAATTATTAATCATTTATCAATTTAGTCAGTTGTATTAACGGTTAAAAAAACTCAATTGTACCTATATGTACGAATGTTAATAGTTAATGTGAGTGTTTTGAGAAAAAACAACGGAAACTCGATGGCATGGAGGAAGTTCAAGTACCAGCTGCAGCCCATATTATATATACATATTATGTAATCTACGTGTAGACTGTGGACCGTTTGGAAAGGGGTAATAATAATAACAGTCGATATGCTTTTTTAAAAAACAGGCTTCGTGTTGTCAGACCAGTGACCGATACTGTGCTGCCAAAATGTTATTAGAGTGCCGTGACGGGGATACCTACATGTATGTATAAAAGGAGCCCGCGGCGTCGAACTTTAAAATCCCAAAGGCGAGCGCGTGCCTCCGTCTATAAGTCGCAATTGCAACTCCTCCCGTCGCGCGACCTACCTGCGCCACTCTACCCCCTGCCTACCCCCCCCCCCCCCCCCCNCGGCACCGTCCGAAGTCGTCCAGGTATATGTACACACTTAGGGTGTGTATACTGTATACATATATACGCACTTTCCTTTATAAGTTTTCTCATCCATTACGCGCGGGTGTTGCTGGTCGGGATCGGCTGCGAATAAGAGGAGGGGGGGGGCGGGTGCACTCGTCGCACAACTTTAAAGCCATCCACGCGCACTCTCGTCTCGTGTTGACGGTGTATATACTCTATATGTATTATATTTATATATATATATATATATATATATATAAAGTGTGGCAGCGGTCGGCGGGTGCAACGGCGGCAGTGGTGGATGCCGCGCGCGTCCCTTATCGATATAACCCCGCGGTAACCGTGGTCGGGCGGGTCGCGGTATATAG